AATAATAATAATAATAATAATGAAAGCAATTTTATTATACTGCATATCTTTATTTTACATTTTAATTACGGAAGATTGTGTAAGTTAATTACGTGATTTTCAACCTTTACACGAATGATGTTATGTTTCCAAAGTGCACGTGTAAAATATTTGGTCTGCCGATTAACATGATTTTAGGAACGGCGCCCCAACAAGGTCGAATGCTTATGGCGCAAGAACGAAGATATGATACTATCTGTAGACGGCATTCGTGATTTTTAGGGATGATATCGTTTCAGGGCGAGCAATGTGTGTTCTTGTAAGAAATTACTTTCCAAAGGACGCGCCCACGGAAATAAGGATTCCCAAGACATAAACAATACAGGGTCCATTTAATTGGTAAATCAAGTAGCGATTGTGCGATCTCATCGTTCGCGAGCTTGATAAAACGTTTCAGGTATTCATCTGTCAGTGATAAGCAGTAAACCAGCTGTTGGCATAATGAGGCAAACGTGCAAATTTCGTGTGTCCCGAAGAAGTGTGCTACACGGTCACACGTAATCTCCACAGAAATTAAGATGCACACAAAATAAATAATGGTTGCAGGATATACAGTAATTGATTAGTAATAAAGTGGATTTGTAATGAAGGTGTGAAGTTGATTTGTAATTGTTAGCAGATTCACAAATACGTACGTAACCGAAGTTTTACGTGTGAAGCGGCTATAACAAAGTGATTATTGTTGTACTACATGAAATGATAATGGATCGAGGGTGCATACAAACACGAACATTCCATCACCGTGCACGTTGCCTCGCGCACCGGAAAATCATTCTCGTTTATTCTTTTCCGATATTTCCGATGTGATGTCACGCTGGCATGTGATTTAATATCCATACGCGAAAAAAAAAAAAGTTCATTTACCAAAGAGACGCTTACAGTATTACGAGGAGTTGCTGTGACTTTGAATAACTAAATGGATTGCCAAGAGATCGCAAAAACCATGGGTCGTAGACGGCGGAACCAATTTAAAACAAGCGCATATAGCCTTCCTCCCAAGCATTACAAATTCGTAAATTTGTACAGAAACATGAGTGCATCGTGTATTCGAGAATAAAAGAAAAAATTATTTATAGATCAGGTTGCATAAAAAAGGCATTGTTGCCTAAAAAAAAAAAAGTCGTTCAAATAAAAAGGAACATTTCCCACTAGAAACATTGTGATAACAACGGAGTTTTTTTTACAACTTTGAAATCCCTTTTTTAGATTATCTTGGCAGAAAATTATTTTTAAGATTACGCCTCTTAACTTGCATCACCTTTAATGTTTGGTGGTTAATTCTATTTTTTTGGTCATACTCTTACTTAAGCGTGCACACTTCAGAAATACCGTCTTTTAAAGCATACCTTAAGAAAAAAAGAATTCCTTTTTTTTTTGTGGGTTTCTTTGCGTCACGTCCTTCTCATACTCGCTCAAAGAGCACACATACACAAACACAATATCAATAAACAATACCGATAACGAGAACCCACAGTGATTTCCCGCGTCTACCCGTGAATTGAAACAGATCAGATATTTGAAATTAGTAAGATTTATTTAACATAACATCCCACCGAGGTTTAACCAAGATTTCGATCTGCAAAAAGAAAGTTTTAAAGAGGAATTATTTGAATCACTCTACAACAATTATAATAATCTCTTGGCTTGGCAACAACTGATATGAAGCGAGGCGTACGCTAGTGCATGTAATGTTTGTTTTTATTAATTTCATTCAAGCTGTGCTCCTCTTTTTGGACAACATGAAATCAACAAGGGATCAAAGATAAGATTTTTTAAAAATTGGGTGCCCTCTTGAATGTTACATTGCGTTGCGCAGCAGTAGTAGGTTATTCAAAATGGATAAGGTTTGAGAAAAGATCAAATAATTGTACAAAAAAAAATTATCTCTAATAATTAAATTTTTACCAGGTATTACGTCAAATGCACTTGACACAAAAAAATTATTTCTAGAACAAACAAATTGTTCCTCATGCTATTTTTAACTATTGCTGGGTAAATATAGTAAATGTGGTTAGACTTTGTGTTATGTCCATCAAAAAGGTGTTCAATGTTTGACGGAAATAAGAAGGAAGGCCCGTGAAGATCGCTCGCATGTTTCTAAGTAGCGTACATATTCCCGAAGTCTCATGATCAAATCCGGACCGATCACTCCACGCACCAAATGCGGTCGGTCTGGTGTGGTAATATAGTGCCAAGGCATTCTAAAAATAAACCTTTTGAATTGAGGGCCGAACACACCGATGAATCGACAAATCAGGATGATGTTTAAAATGTTTTATTATTAATCCTTACATGGCATTTAATCGTTTGAAGAACTTAATGTTGCCCGTGTGATTCGATGGGAAGTTGGTGTTAGGAGGCGTCGTCTATAAATACGAGGGATTTTGACGTTTGAAATACCAAATCAAGGCTGTCACAGAACTCGCCCAAAATATAAAAGCAATACAAGAGAAGTAACACAAAAAGCGTTGATAGAAAGAAAAAAAAAAAAAAAAAATGAACGAACAAATTCAATTCCATTTACCCGCTGCTTCCTCACCTCCTTCTTCCCCATGTTCTCCTCCCTCCAACGATCCACAGGGGGAAGACTCCCCTAGTCACGATCCACTTCCAACTTTCAAGACCTACCCTCAAATCAAACCGAAATTTCCACCTCAGTTGAATCCACGTGACTTGATAGTAACGAAAAAATCTCAGGACGAATCTTTACCGCCCATTATCTCTCGGGTACCCAATGCTTTCATCATTTATCGCAAGCAATTCGTAAAAAGCGCTCGTGAACAAGGGTATTTCCTACCGATGACCGTGATTTCTTCCATGGCTTCGGCATCTTGGGAGAATGAGGAAGAAGAGGTAAAACTCGAGTACAAGAGAATAGCGAAAGAGGTTTTGAAATGCAAAAAGGAGATGTACCCCAAGATAAGTAATAGGAAAAGAAAGGATCGATGGAATATTGTTCAGTATCGTCCTAGGTCTTTGAAGAACGGTGGAAGGGGAACAAGTTTGAAGAAAGAGAAAGAACAAAATGTTATTGGTGCGAATGGTAAAGGCAACAATACCCTTGGGAACGAGATCGACTGGTCGATATACCTGACTCCATCCCTCTCCGAGTCAACTTCTTCGTTATCGTCGCTATCGTCAATATCATCGCCGACATTCGGTTTGGCGCACCAAGATCACATGATCTCAGATGTCATGTTGGAATTTTTCAATAATTCCGGCTGCCGCAACGACAAGAACGATGTCACCGTTTCATCAGGCCCATTAGACTTCGAACGTTTGACCCCGACGTCCGCATATTCGAGTCCGGTGCAGTCGAATGACTCGGCTGCGGTCAATCGTAAGGGCGGTGCCGAATCAAGTCTCAATGGGTCCGAGACCCATGACACAAAAAGATCGAGAGGAGACGATGATGCAAGCCAACAAAGTCCAATTGATCTTAACAACTTTGAATTTACTGATGACTCTGAACGTCAAAAATTCGAAGAACTTTATAATTCACACCAAAATTTATCTGATGTTGGTCTGGATTTTGGGATTCCAGGTGAATTTTTGAACCTATTGCCGGATGACACTGTTTCCGGCTTAAACAATGAATATTTCGATAGCGCATACGGCGAGTTCAATAACATGAACAATGAATTTTATAACCTCCATGAGGATTCTTTTAACAATAGCTATGCTAACGAAAATATGGACGAACACGGTACTCTCGGCGGTGACCTAAATTTTCATTTCTCTGATTCGTTGGGAATTTACAGGCACAACGATATATAGTAAAGGATTTATTCTTGTAGATTCGCCTAAGAACTTTAGAACTATTTCCTCTTCGTGTATTATATCTCCCACTCTACACCCTCTTCGAATTATCATTTTTAAGATGTGTCTCTAATTATTGTATGCCTACGATACCCCCTTGCATATGTAATTATTCATTTACAAAAAATCCTGGAAGCACGCGTGATTCTGTGCTCTGTAAAATAATGATGATAATGATAATAATAATGGATAATAAATAATTTCTTTTCGGATATTCTGGCGAAAACTCGTGCTATGATTTGTGTGTGAATACCGTTTTACTCGCAGTTGTACGGTATCAAAATTAAAGATGATAATTCCTAATAAAGACGGATTCTCCGGTGATACGGAGTGTCTGCTTTCTCGCCGATGTTATCCCTTCCCAACGCCTCTTCTCATCTAACATCATGGCCGACAAACAAGATCGAAAGAACTTTCTTTTTTGCCCTAATTCACGTGATTATCATATTACGCAATAGGTAGTTCCATTTTAATACTGTAATGCAAACCTTGGCATCTTCACTCATCCCAGGCTATATCTCTTGGCAATTTTGAATCAGTTATGTCAGACAATATTGTTTTTCGTTGGAATACTAGTTGACCAAATGGAAAAAATATTATTTCATGTGTAGTTGTCCGTCTCGGAGGGTAGCGTCCCAATTGATCGCGCAATCGCATAAAAAAAAAAAGCACACGCACGTAGCTTTGTTTGCGTCTAATCTTTAATGGCAAATATTCGTGCCTAATCGAGTATGGATGTTAATAAGTCCCGAAAGTCCGCGAAAAATCGATTTACGGGCCGATTACGATCGAGAAAGGAAAAATCGTCGCCCAATGAATTTAATCTTTTGATACTGTACATCCATATGAAAAATGCACTTGGTATACTGTATGTGACGAATGACTAATGTATAGATAGATGCCTTGGCATTGAAATCAATTGTTCCATCGATACTCATACTTTTTATCTGATCTTAAAATAACTTTCGATTTCAGCCATCGCGGCGTCGATATACGCATCGACGAAATCTTTAATATACGGTAATTAATAAATAGTATTGATTTCGATACGTGCTGTGTATACACCAAAATGATCATCGCAAAATAAACTTGATGTAATCTGGCAATTAATAATTTATAACTTCAGTAACTCCAAGAGACTTACTAATAACCAAACTAATTTAAGAACAAATATAAAAAATTATTTAAAATAGGTGAAAATATTTTCAAGACTCTTTTTAAGTTATTTGGATGAAACAAAAAACTAGAAAGAAACAAAAAACAGATGAGATATTAATTTCCTTTAAAAAATATTACCATTTAATCAATATATATATATATATAATTATAACAAATGTTTTTTCAATAAGTAACCAATTAATCCAGGAAGATGTATATGCAATGTAAAACAATTGCTTTGAAAAATATTTATATCATATAGATACTAGCAGTTAAGTCATATTTACAGTAATCTATTATATCATAAAATTTTTTATATCAGATAAGTTTTAAATATTTATTTGTATTATATTGATATTAACCTTTTTTTTTTTAAAAAAGATAAATATTAAAATTTATCAAAAAAAAACACAATGATAAAGTACATTATGCAAAATATTAATAAAATATATATACAAATAAATATCAATCTTTTTACAATTTATTATAATCTTCGAAAACTCTAAAAAATAATAATTGTAAAATATATATATGTTAAAGAATAATAAAAAAAATTATAAGATCTAGTATTATGAACAATTAAATAATTATTTAGTGAGGTCTTATAATTTTAATACAAAATCAATAATTAAATTATTAAATCAAAATTTAAAGTTATTATACAAGATAATGAATATTTATTTGATAATATCAATTTAAACTAACTTATAAAAAAAACCATATAATATAGATTTAATAATATTTAAATAATAAATAAAACATAGTTATATTTATAAATAAAATAATTTTTTATCTTTCAAAAATACTATAAAACAATAATATAAAGATTTACAACTAATTTATATTTTATTAAAAATCAAAAAAAGTTTTATATCTAAAATAATTTCTATAAAAATAAAAAAAAATTTTATTTTATTTTATAATTAATTTTATATAAAAAAATTTTATATATAGTATTTTTATCTAACATTATAATAAAAGAATATTTAAAAAAATGATGATTTCAATAAAATAATAATTTTAAATATATAAATAAATCCATTTAAAGTTTTTTGAAAAAAATATATATTATATATTATAAATTAACTAATTGATAATTCTAATTTAAATTAAAAAAAAAAACTCTTTCCCGTAACCCCCTTTTTTCTTAAAAATTTCCTTATAAGGAAATTTTCCCAAGGAAGAAAGTAAACAACGAGAGATAGTAGTTTTAAAGATCAAACACAATATGGTGAACTTCTCTGTAGAGATAAGCTTTCTCTACAGTACTATGTTCAAGTACTTTGGACCTGCAGAACAGCTGAACCAAGTAAAGAAGCTCTTTGCCAAATAGATAAGCAGGGCTTCTTCTGTCTATTTTAGTAACTCTAAATGACAAGTCTTCTCTTTTCCACTTGACCCGGGCTCCTCTAAAAAGAAGAAAAAATGCCATTCAAAAAAAGGAAGATGCTAAGGAGACAAGAAACAGGGTAAACCAAAGGATAAACAACCTTTGCCTAAACAACCTCCACTTCACAAAGCATGTAAATGTTCTGAGTGTGGTGAAGACTTTACTAGTCACACTTTATAAAAGAAACATTTCAATAGATATCACAAATCAGATACTATAAAAGTTGACAAATATGTCAAGCAAAAGAAAAAACGTAAAGCAGCCCATTAAGAAACCAAGGCCAGTACTGCTGGAGCACTGGCCTGGAAGTTTCTCAGAAAAATTTTCAAGACTGATTGCGATGAGCTCGACAAATGAACAGTGCTTGAATTAGTAAAGCAAGCGGAGGATGAACCTGGCAAATATTGGATTCATCTATCTAAGGAAAGGAAGATTGGTATTCACAATTACACTTCCACTATTGGTGGTTTTGAACTAACTATTTGAGGTTTCAAAACTTATTTAAAGCCTATCTCCTTCACGCTTGAAGGGCTATTCAAAGATGGGTTTGACAAAACAATCAATAATCTTGATTTTTATCACAAATACAAATCTTTATTGATAGATGTACAATGGGAAGAAGTCGATTTTATCGATGGAACTTTTAGGGATGATTGGAAGGTAAGACACTATTCTCATTATTCCTACGTTTAAGTTGATAATAGAGTAAACATTATACTGGCAGGATGTCAAGTAACATCAGGAATTTTGATAACCCTTCTGTTGGAAAACCTTAGTGGGAGAAGGAATTTGCAGACCATACCGAAGTGTTTAAAATCTATAACACAGGTTAGAGTATAATAACGGGTTGATAACTAAATTACTCTTTAAAATTGTTTTAAGAAAAATTAAGAGTGTATCGAATATCTTTCTTATAGTGTAGTTTTACATTTATAGTTATATTATTTGTATCTGCTCTTACATTTATCTTGTATTATGAGTATTTGTAAAATTCCATCTTTATGAGTATAATAAAGTAAAAATAAAGATATTGACTAACTTTGATCAAGGTTAAAGCCCACTCTAATAATCCATAGAATGAAGAAACAGACCAACTGGCCAAAGAGGCATTAAAGCTACCAGCGATAGAATGGAAGAGTCTCAAATCAAGCAAGATACTCATAGTACAAGATAAATGTAAGAGCAGATACAAATAATATAACTATAAATGTAAAACTACAC